CCGTCCTGGTCACAGAAATGGGGGACATTGGAGCCACGGTCCTGTCGGGTCCGAGATCGTCCCCCGCTCCCTCCCGGACTTCCCTTCACGAGGCCTCCTGGTCTGCACGGAACACCGAGCCCCGGAACCAGGCTCCGAGCTGCGGTGGGCTCTGGACATGGGCCAGGAACAAGCAGCCTCCTGATTTCCCTTCGCGGGCGGGTGGGGGACGGTTCTTGCTTTCAGACCCTTGCGCGGGGGTCCCAGAGGGCCCTTTGGTCTCTTCACTGGCCTGAAGGACTCAAGCTTAAACTGTTACCTCCCATTACAGCGCACACCGCCTGCTGTGCACTAAGAATGAATAGTGTTCATAAATCCCGAGATCATTTTGTGCATTGCAGCACGGCACATAGGTGTTAAAAGTGTTCCTTTGTTAAATTAAACCTCCGTTTTGGTGACTGCTTTGGCTTATCTTCATTAAAAATATATAAATTTTATATATATATATATATATATATATATATATATATATATATATATATATATATATATATCTCAGCGGGCGTCAGAAATGGAAGCCAAACACTGGGTACCTCAGGACTCCCCTGACCCAGGGACCAGAGATGATTAAAGCGTTTAAGAGCTAGGACTTTGCACCCCGCAGTTGGATTCACATCTGGGCTCTCTGTTTGCTGGCTATGTGTCCTTGAGTATATTACATAACTTCTATTTCCTCAGTTTCCAGTAATAGACTTCACCTCACAGGGTGGTTTGGGGGGTTAAATGAGGTCATGTTGTGTACCCACTCTGCCTATCTGTCACTGGTAGGAGTGCAATGCTATTTATTGACCATTATCACAAATTTTGGTATTCCAGCACTGCAAGCTCCTTGCAATGATCCCTCAGCCCAGACAGTAACTTCCTAAACCTTGTTCTATTAAGCACTGGGTTTTAAGACCAGGTCTGTCACTGATGCTGTGTGACTTCGAGCCCTGTGCTTTCTGTTGGAGGTAGGGGCAGGAGAGGCTCTTCATCATCCTGGTCACACTGTCCGTCACCATGGGCTACCTCCTGGCCCGCTCAGGGCTCAGCCCTGGCTTTCCTTGGGGAGAGGATCCTTACGTCTGCTGATCCATATGAGTTAGAGCATCAGAGACTTAGGTCAAGAATGGAGTTCTTCTTGTTTTTCAGACCACATGGGGTATCCTTTCTTGGGGGTGCCTCTCCATTCTCTCCATCCCCTCGCACCCAGTCAACACAACACCCATTGCCAGGATCATTGTAAGAGTCACACTGATAACTTGCTGCCCTGATCAGAAGACGAGGGGAGAAAGGGAGAATGCAATGCCAAAATGTTGAAAAGATGGTAGGAAAGGCCCTGAGCCGGGAGTTAAAATCCCTGAGCAAGTCAGGAAATGCAGTGGTCATTAGTGGATAAGTTGAAGATGTCAGGAAAAAGATGGTGTAAAGACTGCCAGAGAGAAAAGGGAGAGTGAGCCATGGTGGAAGAGCGAGGGTCCACAAATCACAGTGGCTTTGGAACATCCCAGGGAAGGGGAGGAGGAGAGGATGGAGATGCCCTCGGGGCTCAGGTGGGGCTTGGAGAAGTGAAAGAAAAGGCTGAGGATGGAGGGGTGCTTGCTTGCATGGAATGGGCACTCCTGGGCTTTCAGAGAGCCCATAGAAATGGGTTGAGGCCAAGGCTCCTGGGGGCTGGGCCAGAGGAGCCCCAAAGTGGGGAAAGCATGAGGAGGCAGGTGGTCGCATTATGGGTGGGGTGGTAAGAAATACCTGGGACGTGATTGTGTACCCCCAGGAGCTGAGGCAAGAGAATGGAAGAGGCCTGGGAGAAAAGGGGCTGGGGAGATATAGGGAGGATGGTGGAATGGGAGGAAGAAAGGAAGGAGAGGAAAAGAAAGAGGGAAGGGGGAGACCTCCCCTGCCCTTCAGAGGGTTCCTCGCCACCAGGATCATGGAAGATAACTCAGGACGGATTTCTTGGAGTGGGCACTCTTGTGCCCCACCCCCGCCCCCATGTGTAAAGGGACTTGGTACTTCCCACGCCCTGCTGGCTGCAGGACAATGCAGAGCAGACCAGCCCCCTAGGGCACCGGGTCTCAAGGGCCCAGAAGATGGAGGTCTCACCCAGCCATATTCTGGGGGCCCAGCATCCAGCCCTCCCAACCCAGCCTAGCTGCTACAGAGACGGGGGGGGGGGCTACCGATCCCACACACCTGGTGCCGTACCTGGCCTTGCTGCCATCACCCAGGATGTGGAGGCTGCAGCTGCATTGAGAGGGGCAGGAGCCCTGGGCTTGGGGGTGCCCCCAGAGGGCCAGGAGCCAGAGCATGCCCACTGCCGCCCTCATGGCTCCTGGCTCCTCTGTAACCCGGACAGGGGCCTGTCCCTGGACTGCTCTGTCGTCCCAGCCCAGGAAGCCCAACAGCTGCCCACTGGCTCATCAGCCCCCCCCACACACAACCCCTCCCGAGGCCATCGGATAAACAGGGACAGGCTGGGGATTAGGGAGGGGAGCCCTGGGCACAGCACTCAGCGGCTTATTGCTCCTGGAATCACCCAGTCCTGGAGGGTGGGGGATCCTCTCTGGTGGCAATGGCCCCCGGCCCAGAGAGGCCAGGGAGTGGCAAGGTGGGGCAGGTGGGCAGCCACCCAGGGGCAAGTGGCTCATGGACTGGCCAGCTTGGCTGTCCACCTGCAAAGTCACCCCATGTCAGAGAGGCTGTGGGCTACACAGACCGTGCCAGGTGCCTGGGCTCACAAGATGAAGACAGACCTGGCCTATGATAAGGGCCACTGGAAATTCTCTCCTGTGAGTTTTATTGGGAGAAAGAAATGAGATGAAGGTGATAAAGACATTAGAAACAGCCAAGCTCAAGGGTCAGGGTTCAAATCCCAGGGTTCAAATTCAGAGATCTGGGGGACACCACAGAGGTATGTTCCATGGACTCATGAACTTTCCCACTCTGCCAAGCAAGCAGCTGCCTCCCTGAATGTCCCCTGGACATCCGGTCTCAGAATACACTGTCCAAGCCAAGCCCTCGTGGGCATCATCATCAATGCCAAAGGCGTGAGGTGTCTCTGTGTGACGGCAGAGAGAATGCCTCTCCTCTGGTTATCATACTCTGAGAAAAGTCCCAGAGCAGGATCTCACGAGTTCTTAGAAAAAGCACTTTCAGTTTTTGCTGATTGTTGCCTGCCTCCCACCCTGTACCATCATAGACATCATCCTTCACTCATTCATTCTTCACGTTTGACCTCAAGGTTCTGCTCTCTGGTCAGGCATGCCCTTCCCGGTTCCTTCAGCTTTTCCAGAAGGTTCCCCAGGCCCTCGAACCTAAAGGCTTAGGCAGGCCTAGACCAGTGAAGTGTGACCAAGCAGATACCTAGGGCCCCAGCGCACACATAAAATGCCTAGCTCTGTGCCAGGCCTGTTTTGACAATCTTGGCTTCCAGGAAATGTTGGTTTCCCTCTCTTCCTCTCTTCCAATCCAGCCAATATGATTTTCCCAATGTTTCCCACCTGTCCCTCCTCCTCCCCAAACCAAAAAGGGCAGCCTTTATTATTCCCACACCTGCCTTTTCCGCCTTCTGTTGGGGATGTCTTCCCATCTCTCTCTAGCCTAACGGAGCTCTACCCTTGATTCCTGGCCCTGTCCTGCTTTCCCTTGTCCCTTGAAGTCTTCTGTGATCTTGTAGGCATGAAAAAAACCTGACATATGGTAATGACACATGGATAATGCAAGATAGAAATTAGGAAAAAGGGATAACTGGGTTATCAAGAAAGGTTTCCAGGAGGATGTGGGCTGTCAGCTCAGCCTTGCAGGGTGGTTAGGCTTGATTAAGTGGGGACAAACAGCAGGAAAAGCATGGGAAGTAAACATTTGTAGAATAGAAGGAGCTGCTTGACCTGGAGTCCAGGGACAGGAGGTTGGGCTTTTGTTTCAGCTTCATTCACAAATCACTCTGTGACCTCAGGTCAATTCCTAACTGCTTTGAGCCTGCTTCCTCACATGAAATGCAAAGAATGATGGTCTCTAATTCATGGAGTTGCTATAGGAATCATCCTCAGATCAGTTAGCACAGTGCCTGGCTCCTAGTGGGGCCTAAACATTAGCTTATATTGTTGATAGAGCTCCAGGCCTTTGGTTTCTTTATCTGAAAATGAGTGAAATCACTCTAGATCAGTGTTTCCGGGTGTAAATTGCATTGTCAGCCAATGCGTAACTTCTCATTTGTAGGAGCAAGGCTCTTAGCGGGTTGAGGGGCCACTAAGACATCAACCCCTCTGTGCCAAGCTCATGCCTTGGGAGACTTTTATGTTTGTGTAGCGTAAATGCCCTGTGGGAGTTGGGAGCGACAGCCCTGGAGGCCATATCCATGATGTATTCTTCTAACCAAGACTTACGCAGGCCGTGGGAAAAGATGTTTGTTTACCTTGCAAAGGAGGAAACTGAGAAGACCCCAGTGGTTCCACCCCAGTGCATGTAGCTGGTTAATAGCAGGTTCAGAACCACAAACTCCATCTCTGGTCCCGGCTGGGATTCTTTCTATGACAACGGCTGGCTTGCCGATTATCATCCTTTCCCCTTCGCTTGTGAGGACACACATGGAAGGGCCTGGCTCCGAACCAATTCTCAGGCACAGCTGCCGCCTAAATCCCTCTTTCTGTTCCCCACCCCTCCCTTGGTTATGCAACTATTTTCTAATTTGGCTCTCAGCCACACACGGTTTGGATTCTGGGACCTTAATCCTGCCCGATTGGGCTGAAATGAATAAGAAAGCATTCCATTCCAGCTTCACAAAGGCTGCACTGTCCAACTGGTGAATGCGTTCCTTCTACTTGGGCCAAAAGCACAGTTTAGGGAAGGGGGCAGCAAGAAGGAGCCCAAGGCCTAGCATAATCACCTGCATGTGCCAGCACGTGGAATGACCCTTTAAAAGGTGGGACCTGGCTTAAAGAGCCAAAGAAGAGCTGGGCTGGCAGGGAGAAGGGCCCAGCATGGCAGAATCGGGGTCCCTGCCCACCGGCTTCAGCGAGCTGGAAGTGTTGGCTGTGGGGACGGTGCTGCTGGTAGAAGGTGAGCCAGGAAGGGCCTGGGTGGAGCGGGGACCCAGTGGGCTCCCTGATCCAGGCCACAGCTATGGAGTTGACAAGAAGAGGCCCCCAAACCCTACTCTTCTGTGCCTACACCCATGGGGCTTCTGATGGGTGCACCTGTGGGATGCAGGCTGCAGGCTGGGAGCCAAGAGAGAGAGAAGCCAGGCAAGGCCCAGGGAGTGAGGGACATCTGCCCAGAACATGACCAAGAACAAGGTTCAGGCCTTTTCTTGTTCCTCCAGCTGGGAGAAAGTTTAACCACCCTCTGGAAATCCTGCTAAGAATCTCATATAAGCTCAGGCCTCTGGTAGGTTCTGGAAACAGACAGCTCTGTCCCTGCTCTCCATGTGACTATAACCAAGTCAGCCAGGTTCTCGGACCCCAAGTGTGTGGTGGTGAAGGTTTGAAGGGGTCATGGGTGTGAAGTGCTAGCCTCGATAGACACTGAGGATTTAATTTCATTTGCCCCCATCCTCTCTGGCTCCACATTGCTCCCACCATCTCCATTCCCCAGCCCTAAGCATTTCTATTCCAGGGGCTGCCTGACTCCCTGAAGTGCCTGCCTCAGCCCAGAATCGCTAAGATGCTCCCTGAGGCCAGAGCTGGGACTGGAAACCCTGGTGCTGGGTCAGCTCAGGACTAGGTTAATCAGGAATGCAGCCCTTGTTCACAGCTGATCCAGAGAAATTGTCAGCCCATTGCCTCCCCCAACGAGAATGCACAGTGGGGAGGGAGTGGCAGTCACTAGGCTGGTCCCCGAGGTCCCCAACACCATTGTCCGGGGGCCCTGCCCCTCTTCCTCTCTTCTAGGAACCCTACAATCCAGCACCCCTCTCAGTCCTCAAACATGCCTTGAAATTTTACCACTTTAGGTCCCTGCACATGCTGCTCCCCTTTTCTAGAATGTTCTTCCACACCCTGTCCTCCTAGTAAACACTCGCAGTTTTTTTTATTTTACATTTTTCTTATTTTATTATGTTATGTTAATCACCATACATTACATCATTAGTTTTTGATGTAGTGATCCATGATTCATTGTTTGCATATAACACCCAGTGCTCCATGCAGAACGTGCCCTCTTTAATACCCATCACCAGGCTAACCCATCCCCCCACACCCCTCCCCTCTAGAACCCTCAGTTTGTTTCATGGAGTCCATCGTCTCTCATGGTTCATCTCCCCCTCCGATTTCCCCCCATTCATTTTTCCCTTCCTACTATCTTCTGCTTTTTTTTTTTTTTAACATATAATGTATTATTTGTTTCAGAGATACAGGTCTGTGATTCATCAGTCTTACAAAATTCACAGCGTGCTCACCATAGCATATACCCTCCCCAATGTCCATCACCCAGCCACCCCATCCCTCACACCCCCCACCACCCCAGCAACCCTCAGTTTGTTTCCTGAGATTAAGAATTCCTCATATCAGTGAGCTCATATGATACATGCCTTTCTCTGATTGGCTTATTTCTCTCAGCATAATACCCTCCAGTTCCATCCACGTCGTTGCAAATGGCAAGATCTCATTCCTTTTGATGGCTGCATAATATTCCATTGTATATATATACCACATCTTCTTTATCCATTCATCTGTCGATGGACATCTTGGCTCTTTCCACAGTTTGGCTATTGTGGACATTGCTGCTGTAAACATCAGGGTGCACGTACCCCTTCGGATCCCTACATTTGTATCTGTGGGGTAAATACCCAGTAGTGCAAATGCTGGGTCATAGGGCAGCTCTATTTTCGAATCTCCATCTTACACTCACAGTTTTGAAGGAAGGATCCTTCCCCATTCCTCCCTTCCGATGGGGAAGCCAGGATCCAGAGACCAAAAGGAGCAGCAAGTGAGGGACCAAGCGAAAGCCCCAGGTCTGGTTTGTCGGCTGCCTGAGGTTGCCCCCTCCAGCTCACCTCACCGCTTGCTGTCCCGGGCAGCCCCCGGCTCGTACCTCAACCCCCTTCGCCCAGGCTCTCCCTAATGTTGTTGCACAGCTCTCAGAGTGGCATTTTGCAATTAAATAGATGTGAGTCTGAGTCCCACCTCCGCCACTCACCAGCTGTGTGCTTAGGGCAAGTTAACTAGTCTCTCTAAGCCTGTTTCCCAGCTGCACATGGGGAGGACAGCATCCAGGTGAAGATGGAACGGGAGGACCCTCAGAAAGCGCTCGGCCCAGTGCCCAGGTTGTGATAAGTGTCAGCAGCTGTCAGTGACTGTGACTATTCCAGCATATGAATCGTGCTGCGCCTTACTGGTTTCTTCCTTATCTTTGAGTAAGGAGGGGGCAGGATGTGCATCTTAGGGCCTGTGGTATCTGAGAGCCAGCCTTTCTCAGCAATGTTTGACGAGCTGCACCGACAAGGTAGCTGAGCGTGAAGGGGGCAGGTTGCTGAGGCTCCGTCCACCCCAGGCCCTGGTTCTGACCCCAGGCAGCCTCTCCAGCCCTGACCCCGGCCTCCCGCTTCTTTCCAGCTCTCACTGGCCTCTGCCTCAATAGTCTCACCATCCTCTCTTTCTGCAAGACCCCGGAGCTGCGGACCCCCACCCACCTGCTGGTGCTGAACCTGGCTCTGGCGGACACTGGGATCAGCCTGAATGCCCTCATGGCAGCCACATCCAGCCTCCTCCGGTACCCGCTTCCCCCCACCCCACCCCTGAGCTCAGGGGCCCCGCCTGGGGCCTGACCTCTGGGCACTGGGCAGCCAGGTCAGAGGCATTCTTCCCACCTAGAGAAAACTGTAGGGGATAGGGTGAGCAGGCAGTACGTGGTTAAATCCGAATTCCACACTATCCCTGAAGAGCCATGGCTGATTTCTGGGGCACAGGAGTTGCTCAAAACCCCCACAGAGCTGGTTGACTGTAGGGATGAAGGGCACAGGCCCTGCAACCAGGTTGCCTAGATTTGAGTCCTGGCTTCCATGTTTCTATCTCTTGGCTTCTCCTGTAAGTTGAATTATTATTACCTAACTCGTATGGTGGCTGGAAGTATTCACTTGTTATTCTGTGGAAATAACTGAAAAAGATGCATGGCACCCAGGAAGCCCGACAGATGTGTTTGCAAAAGCCCACAGGATTTTGACAAGTGTCTAAAACCTCCTTAGGTGCAAACCAGGATCTTTCAACACGGTGTCCGGTGTTTACAGGATTGTTTTCTTAAGTGAACTGAGCATTTCTGCTCTGGTTCCAGGCACTCAAACGGAGGCTGGAGCCCATCTGAGTGTACTTGCTCAGGGCTGACCAGTCTGTGGGGTCAGAATCCATGAGGATTCCTTGCCCTGATCTCCTCCTGCCCCTTCCTGGGTTTAGTGAGGGGACAATGGAAGCTTTTACTTATGATTGCTTGGCCCATGGGGCTGAGAGCTGGGAGTTCTGCGGTCTACCCTCTGACCTTGCCTTCATCTGCTGTGTGACCTTGGCTCAGTGCCTTTTCTTCTCTGAGCCTCAGTTTCCCTATCTATAGAAGAAAGGCCTGGGCTTTCTTCCCAGGATGTCCCATTTCCTATGCTGGAGGCTTCTGACCACACAGAGAGACCCTTTGGTCCCTGTGAGTGCAGAGAAAGACATGGAGCCCAGGAGTTTGCATCAGGCTCCACCTGTTCACCCCAGGAACTTGACCTCTGGGGCCCCTGTTTCCTCATAGGAAAAGCAGACAATGAAGCCCTCTTCTGGGGAGCCAGGCCAACATTCAGGAGGGTGCCCTCCAAGCTCCGGAGGGGCAGGTGTGGGAGCAGGGCAGGGACAGAGGGAAGGGGTCACCGGCCCCAGTGTCTCCCACAGGCGCTGGCCCTATGGCTCGGAAGGCTGCCAGGCTCTCGGTTTCCAAGGCTTTCTGACAGCACTGGGCAGCATCTGCAGCAGCGCGGCCATCGCCTGGGGGCGCTATCACCACTACTGCACCCGTGAGTCTGTGCTCCCAGCGGGGAGGGACGTCTACCCGGCGAGGGTGAGCAGGTCAAAGGTCTGCTCGGCGTTTCCCAGTCCAGGGGAGTGTGGGTGGGCGAGCATGTCCGTGAGTATGCGGCGTGGGCATTCAGGAAAGGAGGGAGGCAGGGAGAGTGGGCAGGAAAGGTGCCAGGGCACATGCCAGAAAGGCTCCCCTCAATGTCAACGCAGCCTCCCTCAGGCAAGTCAGGAGTCCTCTCTGAACCTCTGTCTCCTCTAAGAGCAGATTTTTATAAGCAACCTCCCAGTTTTATTCTGAAAATCAAATGAGATCATGGGTACAGAAAATGCCCTTGCAGACAGGCCCCGTTGAGGCTTGTGTGTGTGTGTGTGTGTGTAGTGGGCGTGTATCCCTGCATTTCACACTTCCATCGGCTTCATGAAGACCAGTCCAGCCCCAGATTTCCCAAGCTGTATTGTCAAATATCACCTTCATAATGGCCATGTCACTGTACCACCTGCTCTGTTATTTACTTGATTTTTTTTCTTAAAAGTGATTCGTTTAAAAAAATGTAAACACCTGCTCTAGTATCCTCCTAAACAATATCTCTGATGTCCTTATAATTTTAGTACACATTAAAATAAACATGTTCACCCACCGGCCGTCTAGAATCCCACTCATACTTTGGGGAGTGGTGACTTCTCTAACCCTTATCGCAAACTCCAACTTGCAGACTGGGAAGCAGAGGCTCAGAGAAGTTAAGTTGCTTCCCAGGGTCACCCAGCTAGTAGAGGTGGGGTGGGGGGATTGGGCGTGGCCGGGATGTCTCCTGAGGCAGTCACTCCCTCCCAGGAAGGCCCCACATCCCGAAAGGTGACTCTGCCTGGCATGGAGGCTGCTGTGGGTCCATGGCCAGCATGGCCTGAAGCCCTGGGCATGGCCTGTTTGGGATCTGCTGGTCTTCCCTGACCCCACACGCACAGCGCGCCCCCCCCCCCCACCCCAGCAAAGTTGCGCACCTCTCCCCAGGCCAGAAAGTTGATAGAAGTGATAAGAAGAAAGATTATCATTTCTAGAGGCAGGTTAGCCCCACCTGCCCCACCTGACCTCGGAGCTCCTATCCTACCACTTCTATCCCAGTCTGACCCCCGAAGCTCCCTCAGACGACTGTGCGCACACACACACACATACACACTCACACACGTGCACATACACAATGCACACCTCCTCAGACAGCAACACGCTTCCCTTCCTCAATATAGAGCAGTTGATCCCTATTCTGGGGTCCCTAGAGCAAAGCCTTTCCTGAGCTGGACGGCACCGTGGAGAATATGAAAATGGGGGAGGGGAATGGAGGGGGCCTGAGCTTATCTACTCCATATTGGGTGACCCTGGACATGTCACCATGGTCATCCATTTCCAAAGCCAAAAAAGCAATATATGGGTCATGGTAGGTACTAATTATTGTGTCCACAGTTAGGGGGAGGGGTGTCTTTGTCAGCTTGGGCTGCCATAACAAAATACCATACGCTGGATGCTTAAACAACAGAGATGGATTTCTCATAGTTTCTCGATGCTGGAAGTCCAAGATCAGGGTGGCAGCCCTGCTGGGTTCTGGCGAGAGCCATCTTCCTGGCTTCTGGACAGCTCCCTTCCTGCTGTGTCATCACGTAGAGAAGACAAATCATCTCTCTTGTGTCTTCTCGCATAAGGGCACTAATCAAATCATGGGAGCTCCAACCTTGTGACCTAATTACCTCTCAAAGGCTCTCCCCTGGAATATCATCCCACGGGGATGAAGGCTTCCCCAGAGGAGTCTGGTGGACATTCAGTCCATAGCAGGAGGTCACATTCAAGCAAACTGCATCCGGGGCTTTTGTCAGTGGATGCGGTGTCAGGATGAAGGAGGGTGTAGATCTGCTCTTCTCTGCGGACCAAACCCCACACGGAGTCCTGCCCTCTGCCCTGGGGCCTTGTCCACAAAAGAACATGACAAATAAACCACAGACAGACAAGGCACAAGGGAAAAGCTTTCTGAGGCTGGGGCCAGGAAGAACTACCAGATGGGAGGGCTGGATGAGGCTGCCACCAAGAGGGGCAGGGGAGGAGGGGACATGAAGGCTGTCAGGTCACTGGGACTGGTCACATGAAAAGATGCTGTTCGGACCAAGACCCTACCATCAGCACTGAGATGGCGCCCCCAGTCCTCAGAGGGTATCCTGGAAGCAGGGACAGTGGCTGTGTCTGAGCAACGCTAAGGATGGTGGGAAGTCCAGACTTCTGCTTCCCTCCCTCATGACCCTCACCCGAACCACTGCCCATGCTTCTTCCCCAGTTGACTTGGGGAAGCTCCTCTTTCTTTGCTCCTCCCTCCTTCTCTGTCCTCTAAAGAAGATGGTAGAGAGTGTCTACTAGGAGGCCTTCACCACACATTATCTCTTTTATTCTTCATAACCATCCTCTGAGACAGGGATTATCATTGTCATTTCATGGAGGAGAAAACGGAGGCTCGGAGAAACTTTTAACTTGCCTGAGACAATAAGCTAATAGCATCAGAGCCAGGATTTAGGAACATTCTGTGTGAGGATGAAGTCCATTCTTCTGCACCCTGCCTAGCTAGCGCCTCCTCTGGACCCTCCTCCCCCTCTCTCTCACGCAGGCAGCCAGTTGGCATGGAACACGGCCGTCTCCTTGGTGATCTGTGTGTGGCTGTCTTCTGCCTTCTGGGCAGCACTGCCCCTCCTGGGCTGGGGCCACTATGACTATGAGCCTCTCGGAACATGCTGCACCCTGGACTACTCCAGGGGGGACAGGTGAGGTGGGAGGAGAAGCTCCAAGGCTCCCTTCCTTGGGAACAACAGCGTCACAGCTGAAAACCTAAATGGGGAAATGTCAACATTTGCCAGACAATCTCAACTCCTTGGTCATCATGCCCACTTGCAAGTTGACAGTGGGACTAGGGAAAGCCCTAGTTCTGAAAGCCGGCCAAGTGATGGGCATGTTATGCAAACTGGGGAATAAAGTTGTGCCCAAGAAGGAGTATTACCCCCTAAGCTGTTGGTCTGTGTCAGTTACAACAGTCGCTGAGTCCCGTGACCCCTTTGCCAACTTCAGCACAGTCAGTTGTCCCAGCTCTGACTTGATCAGTTTCTAAGGGAGTTGTGTCCTTTGTTCAATACAGCCAAAGAACATTAAGGTCTTTGCATTGGAAGGGACCTCCTTGGCATAGAGTTTAGTTCTCTGAATTTCCTGAGTATCTGCTGTGAGCCAACCGCTGGGCCAAGCCCTAGAAAAAGATTGATGCATGATGGCCCCCACCATCATGGAGCATATGTCTAGTACTGCCCCATCCATGTGGCTCTGGGGACACCAGGGCTTAGAGAAACCCTTTAGGGGACACCTTGGGGAGAGGCCACCTGGGCTCCAGCTCCCCTCTTCTACTAGAGCCATGTTGCATTCATCTGCTTTACATGTTTACTCATGGTGCACCTGCCCCTGAAGACAGGCTTTCCAGGTGAAACCTACTTGAGAACCCAAGTCTGGTACAAGTGTCCTTCCAGAGCACTCCCTACAGGTATCCTCCCAGCCAGTGTCCAGTCCTCTGGCAGGCTTTCCTCCTACCCCTCCCTACTGGGCAGCACCCAGGTAACATGGTCTTCCCTTCACAGAATGGGAGTCTGCCTTTCTGTGACTCCCACCTGTTCCTCGTTAGCCCTCCCACTTTCCCATGACCCTCCCTGGGCGCCCAGGCCCTCCTGTGGTCCTTTCAATGATTTCTTCGGTGACACAGTGTCCAGTCTCTTTGTCATCTGCAGACCCCTTTCAAATCCCTGTGCCAAGCATTCCTTGAATGATCCTTCCTCTTGGTCCATTGACCTATCTTGCATTTGGTAAACATGTTTCCCAAACTGAAGTGTCCCATTCTCCATGCTTGGGGCACATACAGAAAGCAGGACTGAGCACTTGAACTGCCCAACAGAGAGTTGAAGGAGGACTCTCCCTCATCTCAGCCCTCCAACTCCTAAAGGTAAATTCAAGAAGGACCTAATGGCTCCCTGTCTCTAAAGGGAGTCTGTCTGGGACCCAGGGTTGACCACACTCAGAGTTTTTGTCTGATGAGGGCAGTTCCTCACATGTGGCTGTCTAGAGCAAAGGCTAATAAGCCTTCAAGGGCAGCTGATCTCCCCCCAAGAGATGGTCCTGACTCCTCTACCCACTCTGCCTGCAGAAACTTCACCAGCTTCCTCCTCACCATGGCCTTTTTCAACTTCTTCCTGCCTCTCTTCATCACGCTCACATCCTACCGGTTCATGGAGCAGAAACTCAGGAAGACGGGCCACCTCCAGGTGAGGACCAACTCCCGGAGCTGAAGAAATCCCTCTGTCCCTCTCAGGGAACATGAATGATGTGAGAGACAGTAGTTAGGGGTTTTCTGTGTTTTCAGTGATCAGGGAAAAATTCAGCATTCACAGAGCTTGGGATGTCAGGGCAGGAATGCACCCTCGCCATTGCTGGGCATCGCCAAGACCTGGGAGGAAGGGTCAGGACTGCTCAGACTTACGGGACCCCATAACCTCGAGAGCCAGGGCACCCTGCTGGACCCCATCCATGCTGTCACATTTCATTCTTCCCAAGGATTTAAGGGTTGGCACAAAATGACACACTTTTCAAATGCTTCTTTTAAATTGCTCCAAAATGTTTAATTTAATCACAGGTGCAGACTGTTGTTATCCACAACATAAACTCACACCCGCCAGCACATTTATCCAAGAAAAACAATCCTTCAAAAAAGGCCCTCCTGGCCATTTCTGAATTTCTGCCTTAATATCCCCTTTCCACAATTTTCTTTTGTCACCTGGACAATCTCTAGCAGACGAGCCATAACAAGCACCAAGTTTAAAAAAAAAAAAAAATCAGATACTAATACTACTTTTCTGTGCATTATGCCATTCCATCTTCCCAACCACTCTCTAAGGAAGGTTTTGTTATCACTTTGCCACAGGCTAGAAAATTGAGGCCGTAAGGGTTTGTTAAGTAACCAGCTACAAGCCCTGAAAGTAGTGATAGCAGAGTTGGATCAAACCCAGGTCTGGGACTCCATGACCCAAGTGGTCTTCAGTGCACAAAAGAAATGATCTTTGTTGAGACACTTCATCTGCCACATTATTATTATTTTTCCCCCGTGAATTGGAAAAGGACTGAACAAATCGATTTTAGCCGGAGATCCAGGTTGCTCTGAGTCAGCGGGAGGACGAGGGCTGGGCCAGGACCAGAATCGTGGCTCTGGGCTCATGCTCCCCTTGCCCCTCACCGCCTCCGGGCTGTCCTCCGCGCTGCCCGCCCAAGCACGACCTGGGTGCTCAAAGTCGCCACATTTATTGGAAGTTCAATCGGCCAGGAGACAGGGCTGCCACGCCGGTTTTCTCTTCCCTCCTCCCCCGCCTGACTTGAACCCATCAGTCCCCGCAGCATCAGCAGAGGTCGCTGCGCGTGGGCGCGGGGACCTCGGTCAAGAGCAGAGCGGCTCCGGGAGGTGACGCTGTCTCTGCTGAGGGCTCCGTTCTCCTCCGGCCTCAGCTCCGCTGCGGAGCTCCTCCGTCAGGGCGAAGCCCAATTTTTTTTTTTTTTTTTCTTTTCCTTTTTGGCCTGAGGGGCCATTCAAGAGAATAAATGTCTCCCAACTGACATATTTTTTTAAATATTTTTTTTAATTTTATTTATTTATCCATGAGAGACAGAGAGAGAGAGAGGCAGAGGGAGAAGCAGGCTCCCAAGGAGCAGGGAGCCCGATGGGGGACTCAGTCCCAGGACCCCGGGATCATGACCTGAGCCGGAGGCAGACGCTTAACCATCTGAGCCACCCAGGCGCCCCCAACTGACATATTTTTATTTCATCAAGAAACGTGTCCTCTTTCAACTTAAGTCACCGTCTTCGTTAAAGGGAGACGCAAAGAGGTAATAGGCACTGATGTTTAGCGTCCGCGTTTTAACGTCTGAGTGTGGGGGGGAAGCCTGAAGAGCCCCTTCCGTCCGGAAATTAGAGCGCAAGTCGTGCGCCCCCCTGTGGCCAGAGGCGGCACCACAGGGCCCGCCCGCGTCTTGTACCTCGCACCTTGGAGAGCCGCTTGGAACCCAGCGCAGGCCGACCCGCCGGGGGGGGGGGCTGCGGCGGCTGCAGGCTGCTGGCGAGCCGGTTCTGGGACTGGGGCGTGAGGGCAGCCCAGCCTGGGGAGCCCCATCACCCAGCCACCAGCCACACCCACGGAGCCCAGAGCTCCGCAACCCGAGCGTGGACCAGGAAGGGAGCTCATTATCCGCCCCCTGGTCCCCGCCTCCAGGTAAGTGAAGCATTATCAAACCATTTTTGCAAGCAAGACAACTGAAGTCAAGTAAGGTTAAATGACAGGTTTAGGGTCACACAGCTTACACGCCAGAGAGGTCCATCTGGCGGCCCCAAGGTCCTCCGCAGGCTCAGCGCCTTCCCACAACCGGGTCACACTGCCCCGCCCGGCTGCGTGCCCACCTGGTCGCCCCCCGCGCGTGGGGCCACAGCCGGCTAGAGCCAGTCAGTGCCTCCCTCCCGTGACCATCTCTCGGCAGGTGAACACCACTGTGCCGGCCAGGACGCTGCTGTTCGGCTGGGGCCCCTATGCCGTCCTGTACCTCTCTGCCACCGTCACGGATGTGAGCGCCATCTCCCCCAAGCTGCAGATGGTACAGACGCCTCCGGGACCCAGAGTTAGAACTCTCTCCATCTCCGTGTCTCTCCGTCTTGCCCCATCTCTTTTTCCTGCTTTCTGGCCTCCTGGTAGTCTCTTCCTCTCTTCCTTGGAACACTTCTATTGCACGGGGAATTCGCTTCTCTTGGGGGCCACACGGGGCTGCACCTTGACATTGCCTTGGCCCCGCGTGAGAGGACAGGGACAGCCACACTCTGGGACCAAGGCTAAGACGTGCTCAGGACGGGGTGTGCTTCCATGCGTCATCTGCCAACTGGTCAAGGAGGCCTTGGGAGTTGCAGAATCCAGCCCGGGACAGACGACTGGTGGCTGCGGGGTGGAGGTTGGGGGGTGGGACTGGGGTCACCAAGTGGGACAGGGAGAGGAGCTGAGGCTGCGAGGCTTCTTCCCTGAACTTTTCTGTCCCAACAGGTGCCTGCCCTCATTGCCAAAACAGTGCCCACGATCAATGCCATCAACTATGCCCTGGGCAGGGAGATGGCCCACAGGGGAATTTGGCAGTGCCTCTCACCACAGAGAAGCGAGCTGGACCGAGCCCGGTGAGGTTCTCCGGGGGGCTGCTCAGACCCAGGCCCACCTCTGACACCCTGGACTGAGCCCCGTGCTAGGAGGCTGCCCCGGAGTCCTGCCCAGCAGCCTCAGAAGCCAAGCTCCAGACCTCGCTCCCTGCCTGCCTCGGGATGGCCCTGTTGGGCCTGGGCCTCGGTCAGACACGGGGGATTCAGAAAGCACCCAGGCTGCGTGGGAGGACCTGGGACTTTGGCGCCAGACAGATACGAATTTCCATCACAGCCCTCCAAACAGAGGCTGAGAGACCTTGGCAAAGTCAAGGTCTCTTGGCAAAAAAAAACTGAGCTTCCTGACCCATAACGTAAGGTCTCCACGGGGCCGCTGTGAGGTTTAAGCAAGGTAATGTGTACCCACCACACACACGGAACCTCATTAAGACAGCTGTCAGGGCTCTGAGTCTTACACAGAAAGGCGTGAAAGCCCCCGGTTTCTTGTGGGAGGGCCATCCAGGCTGTCAGCGTTCCAATGCCACTTATTAAACTGAGATCTGGTGCAAGCGACTGAGTCTGTGTGTGCCTCTGGTTCCCAGCTTGTGAGATGTGGTGACGGGCATGGTGACTTCACCGTGCAGAAGGGACCAGAACATCACCTGGCGCATTAAGTGCTCACTGACAGCCACCAGCACCCGCCGGTCAGAGACAGCTAGCTGCGTGTTGCTGAGTTACCAGCATTAAAAATCAAGATAATGTATTTAAAAGTCCAGATGTCTGAAGATGAGGCCCCACCAGCCTGGAGGAGGCTCCCTGGCAACAGTCTGCAGAACTCAGAGCAGCTCTGTCCTTTGCCCGGCGCTTGTCCCCTTCCATTCCCCTTCCATCAGCTGTAGCTTGTATATTCCCTGCAGAGCCTGGCATCTGGGTTTGTGACAGTGATGGGGTCTCCATCCCTGGATGGACATCTGCACCTCCAGCAGAGTCAGCATTTCAGGGACAAGGTGTGGCAGGTGCACAGACCTGGGGGGACCCGTCACCCTAGAGGGAAATGAAGGTGGTGGGCAGGGAGGTGATGGGCTCTGCAGAAGGTCTGATGATGGAGAGCTGGCTGCCCCAGGGACCTCGGATGCAGGAAAGATGAAAGCTCAAGCCCCAGATGCGGAGCAGGGAGGAAACAGGTCCCCAGAGGGTAGGGATAGGATGGTCATGAGAACAGCATCTGGGGTCCCTGTGTACCAGGACCTGCCTCTCAGCTTTGCAGATGCAGAAAATCAGGTCACATAAACGTGACTCACAAGAAGTCTGCATTCAACAGAGGCTGGCTCAGTCATTGGGCAAAACCAAGTGGAAGGGAGAAGGAAGCAGCCTTCCCACAGCATGTTTTCTAGACCACGCCCTGAGCTGGGTGCTGTAGAGACAAGATGCCACTGAGCCTCACTCCAGTGACCAGTTGGGTTCCTGGTCTTAGGCCTGCAGTGGGAACTGACTGGGGAAGTCCTGGGGCCTGAGCTGGGCTCCCATACAGGCTGAATGGGTGGCCACAAAGGTGACAGTGTCCAGAGCCCAGAGAAACTGACCCTGCCCCCACAGTCCAGGAGTCCTTAAATTGTCTTTACTGGGGATCCGCCCTTCTCTCCACCATTAAAGACACTAACCCCATAAGGTGGAACAAGGGAGCACAGTGAGAAGAGAAGAGAGGTGACCCCCAGACTCAGAGAGGTGGGGGGGATGCAGGTTGGCCAGGCATGGTCAAGGACACCTATAGCTCCAGCCCTGCACCCCAAGCCTGTGTAGAGGGGAGAAGTTGGGCTCGGAGCATCTCCAGCCTGGACTGGGTTGGCAGGAGATGGCAGGGGCTGGAGCAGCGCCCCATGGGGAATGACCAAAGCCCCATGAGAAGCCCCAAGTCTACCCACACCCGACTCTCACTCATGGAATGAGTTTAGGGAGCCTTGCCACCTTCGAGCTTTTCTGCCCATGTCCCAAAGCACTTTCAGGATCTGGAGTCCTTGTGGACACTGTGTGCAGAGCCTCTCCTCTGCCCTCCTTGCCACCACAACCCTACCCTGCACTTCCACAGAGCAGCTCACCTCCCAGGCCAGAGGGACAAAGGAGGTGGCTGGGTCCTTTCGGATGCCCACCTCCCTGCAAGCCCTTAGCACGGGCACCGGGCTGGGAGAGGAATCAGAGCCGGTGCCTGGAAGACAGTCAACACCTGAAAAAACTTAGAGCACTGCCCCCAAAGCCCTGGAACCTTCTGCAACTCCCCTGCTCTGCCCGGCCCCCACCCAGGCCCATACACAGCCATCAAACTGCCTGCTGATCTTCTCCATGCTCACTGTAGAATACGTCAGGAACTTGAACAGTCAGGAAAACATATGAAGAAAGCAGTTACTTCTGTCTCCTTGACGTGTTTGTTTCCTGGGCCCTTCTGTCCATTGATTTTGGTGAGCGTCCCTCCCCTCCCTCCTCACTCTGCTGCCCCTTCAGGCTCCTGTTGAGCAGTCTGCCCCAGGCCCCTTTCCTCCACGCGCGGAGGGGGCCCCCAGTGTCGCTAGTAGGGACAATGCCCTGCTCCCCCCACACAGACACAACAGGCCTGGGGGGACATGCCAGTCGGTCCCCCAGCCCACACCGTCCATCACTGTTGCCATCATGCTCTCCCTGAGCTCCTGCTTGGATCACCTGGTGGCAAAGATGCTCTGTCCCCGTCGGACACTGGGCTGATGGGGTGAGACGGGTCCGAGATCCTTTCCAGTCACCTCAGAAAAGGTCCACGCCTCCTTACCTCTTCCTGGCTTTTGTGAGTAAAAACTGTGCTAATCTGCCTAAGAAGGTTCAAAAGTAGAGACTAGGGTCCCAGCTGTGTCCACGCAAGTGGAGTCACATAGTCATCAGCATTATCGACATTACCCAGAAGTTTCCTTCAGAGTCTCCGCAAGTCTCTACATCAAAACTAAACTCTTTTCCCTCATTCTAGGTAAATTAAACATGCCCTCTGAGCTCCACGGTATGCTCGGTTTAGTCACGGGTTTCAACAGAATTGTCCCCCCACTGACTTTCAATGTGCAGAGCATGTCAGCCCCATTCTGCATTTTCCTTTAAGTGGCTGTGGCTTGACTTGGCAACCTGTGTGTCTCCATTATTTTAAAAATGTAACCTACAGGGGAGGGGAGCCCCGTGCACGCCCTCACGTGTGGTGCTGAGGCTCCAGCCCTGCCATTCTCTCACTGGGGGGCCCTGGGTGAATCCCATGCACTCTCGAGCCCATCCTTTCTATTCAATCTGAATGGGCTCCGACAAGGGCACGAGGTTTTCAGATTCTATCAAAAGTCTAACTCTTTTTCAAACAAGATGTATGTTATGGATTGTATGTTTTTGTCCCCTCCTAAAATTCATATGTTGAAGCCCTAACCCCCAACGTGACTATATTTGGACATAGAGTCTTTACAGGAATGATCAAGATGAAATGAGGTCATAAGGGTGGGGCCCTGACCTAATAGGACTAATCTTTTTGTAAGAAGAGATACCAAAGCGCGCTCTCGCTCTCTCTCTCTCTCTCTCTCTCTCTCTCTCCCCCTTGGGCATCAGGGAAAGGCCATGTGAGGATAAAGATGTCTGCAAGCCAGGGGGAGAGCTCTCACCAGACAGGAACCCTGATGGCACCTTGATCTTGGACTTCTACCTCCAGAACTGAGACAATAAATGTCTGTTGTTTAAGCCACCCAGCCAGGGGTATTTTGTTACAGCAGCCTTAGCAGACTAATACAATGTTACCCGAAAGCTCATTGTTTAAAACAGATGGAGGGCCCTGCTGTTGCCTCCTGCTCACCAGCACCCAGAGTACCCACCCAGTCTCACTTCTGCAGAACCGGGAACTGCATGAAAGCCAATTTAAAGGGCACAAAATTTGCCTTCTAAGATCACCTACCGTTCTCAGATCCATTGATTTCAGAGTTTATTTTTGTAAGGAAATATAAGTACAGTAGAATAAAGTCCCCGCCCCTCCCCATCTTCCTGCTGGGAAAGACGGCTCTGCCTATTGACAAATGGATTTGAATTAAAGTCACAAACAAAATAGCAAGTTATCTCTGAGGTATAGGAATGGACAATCCCTGGCCTCCCCCTCCCCCCAAAAAAATCCCCACTGGAACAATTTTTCTGGGGAGGGGAGGGACTGTGTGCCTGATTGATTAGCAAAAAAAGGAAATATAATTTAACTATGGCCTAAACTATGTCTATATTTTTGCTTAAAAAGTAAGGGGATTTTTGAAAATTTTCCACATAGAGAAATAAATTCAATAGCAAGGTAACAGGCCTCATTTATTTGTATCTTTCTCCTTGCCATGAAATTGGTAGGATTTCATGTTGTTTTCTCTATCAGAGACATTCCTGGTTCAATTTGCTCACTCCCCCTCCCATAAAACTGCCTCCAGTATTATTTTCCCTATCTCAGTAAATATCATTACTCTCTGTCCTGTCATACAAGCTAAATGAAAAGAAAATGAGGGGAAAATGCAAAGATCTGACACGCATGAATACTTGGTAGTTTAGGACCACGCAGTGGTTAGCTTCTACCACAAGGTGGCAGTGTGAACTCAATGATAAATTCATCCTGAGCCGTTGCCCTGGAGGTACCTTTCAGAAGAGCCTGGGAGTTCCCTGGTGAGGTCCTACGGGTGAATTCCTGATTCCTGCAGGATCTCAGGCAAGCTTTCTTTTCTGCTCTTAGTACAGAAGCCTGATGTCTAGCTGTTTTCTACCTCAGATGATGATGTGATTCCCCATCTCTCCTTGAAGGGAACAGAAATTGCATGCCCACTGGCCAGAGACCGCCCAGGTGGCCCTACAGCGTTGCCCCTTTCTTTGCCTGCAGAACAGTCACTGGAAGTCTACCAAATATAAACCTCCGAAGTCTTCCTGCACGGAGGATTTGATTAGGAGGGCATTCCAGGTACTATGCTCAGAGAAGCAACTCGAGCCTCCTCGAATGTGCAGTAAATGGCATTTGGTGATGGTAATGTTTCTAAGGTCACGAGTGCTGGAAAAGCCCTGGGTGAAGGCCAAAATCATAATCCCTAAATCTTCCCTCTCCTCTTGGTTGTGGTAACTTGCTGTTCCCCTCGTAAGCCGTTCCCTGGCCCTGACAGCACACACCTGTTCTTTCCTCTAGCTGCCCCTACAATGGCCTCCATTGTCTCCCTGCAAGGCACTCTCCGCCCAGCTGCCCCTCCCTCTGCAGCTGTGGGAACACATGCAAGTCCTTCCCCTTCGAGGTAAGAGGCAGCATGGCAGCTTGGAAAGCACGTAAGTGTGGGCATTGGAGAGACGGAGGCATGAATCCAGGATTTGCCTTTTTTTCAGTGTGTGACCAAGTTGGAGCAAGGTTCTTATCTCTGAGTTTGTTCCGTGCCCACCAAAATGGACTCACCAGGTGGCATAATTTAAAGCACATGGCACGTAGGGGGTGTTCAACAAATATTTCAATTCCCTCCATCAGGGACCTTATCAGCTCTTCCTTGCTATCCCCTGATTTTTCTTATTAGTCACTCAAGAAAGGGGTATATGGGAAAATTACGAGTGTTGGGAGACAACTATATGCAACATGCATCAAATCTACTACCTCATTTAATTTTCTGCA